CATTCTAGAAAGTTGGCTTCCATCTTACTCCTTTATGAGTTTGCCTGTATTGTAGCCTAGGTATGGGATCATGGACTTGAGTCAGCCACATAGATCATGTGAGGACTATGGATAGGACATGTACAACAGAGAGGGCTACAGGCAAAACACTTTTTCTTATTAACCCTTTGTTTCATTATTTATAAAATTAACAATACATAAAATAAAAATAACAACCCTTCAAGTTACAAGTTTGTCTCCTATTCATTTCCTGGTAGCACACCCCGGCTTGCATTCCCTTCACAGGGTGTTAGCTGTTAATCAGGTCTGTTCTAGAACCCCTCCTTTTCTCAGTCTAAGTCATTCAGTGAGTCGTCCTCCTGAGTTCAGGTGTAGATTTGTGACTCAGCTTGATCAGTTGAAATGCTCTATTTCTCTGGTCACCGTCATTGGTTTGAAAATGGAGACACAGACTGTAATCAAGCCAACAAAATTCATCCCGGGGCTATAGTTGAGAGCTGTTGGAAAATAGGTAGTTTTTTTTTTTTTCCGGAACAATTTTCTGAAAATGATGGAAATTTAACACAGTCATGGCGCAGGATGTGGGTAAAGCCAATCCAGACAGAACCAGAGCAAAAACAGGTACGAAGATTAAGAATGAGGTGGGCAGGTTGTTCATAGCACTGACAGTGCCTAACTTAGTGACATATGTCAACTTTTTCCCTTAAATCTATATGAAGAAATTTTTAGCACTGTAAATATAGCAAAGCAGAAACATGGTCTTGATCTCTCCTAACCCAGTCTTTATGCTACCAGTTTATTTCATCACATGTTGCTCTGCCACCAAATGTGGCTGGCTAGAATATACATCCTTCTCTAGAATACATCTCTTTCTTCAGTGTTCACCATTAAGAATCCTCTGACTCTGTTTGCCAATAGAACAAAGCCTAAACTCTACAGTAACATATCAAAGTAACAAAAAAAGCATTAATAGCAATTATAAATGGAAGCTCTTGGGGATTCCGAGCTTCTTTGCAGCATGTCGGTCATCTTCGCTCCTGACTGGCTACGCGGCAAGGCCAAGGTCAACCAGGAGACTATCCAGCAGCTCCTGGAGGAGAATGACCAGCTGATCCGCTATATCGTGGAGTATCAGAACAAGGGCCGAGCGAACGAGTGCGTCCAGTATCAGCATGTGTTACATAGAAATCTCATTTATTTAGCTACCATCGCAGATGCCAACGCAAGCAGTCTTACAAAGGTGGTGGAGTAATTTTCCAGGAGGCTGCAATGAGGAGTGACTACATGGAAGCCATCTCCTGGGAAATAGCTGCTCAGAACATGGGCAAAAAGTCCCATTCATTTTAGACTGTGAGGAACTTGTTGCCAACTCTACTATATTCTTACTGTAAATATGTTAGTAATAAAACAGATCTCATGGTAGAACTGTGAGGATCTGAGGTGTATGAAAAAAAAATAAATAAATGGAAGGTCTTTTATGGCTTCTTAGGCCTTATATTTTCAGCTGGTCACAAAACAAAATGTGTTACTACAATGCTGCTGTCTAGGGATGTCTCGTTTTTGCTAGTGGTGAGCTTGCTTTCTTTCCCCTCATCTTGAATTATTTTTAAACACCAATTCAAATTTTACATGTTTCAAGCAGTGTGTCCCCAACATATATAGAAGAGTTGGCTACTCGTTTTGTTAAGACATTTAGATAGTAAGACCTAAAGTATCCAGTTGAACAGGCTTTAATGATGATGAAAACATGTTTGCAGAGATGTCAATCCAGCATCTCTGTATCATCAGCCAAGATCAAGATTTCTGACCACATCCTCCCCTGTCATCCTCATCACTTGGTGCTCTTCCCCAAGAATTTACTGCATTTTCACTATTTGTCTAGTGCAAGTCCAAGGACCCGCAGGTAGTCAGTATAAAGCGAGTCTTCAAAGGAAAAAATATGAATATCCCTTTATCAATAAAGAAAACTTAATCTTGGGCATGTTTCCTGTTATATTTCATTAGCCAGAACTGAATCACATGTTCAAGGCTCAACCAATCAATGGACAGGCCTTCTCAGTCTTAGCTAATTAGGGCTTGTACCTCTATGGTAGGGAGGAAGCGTATTCTCTGAGCCGATGGTTCTACAAGATGTGAGAGAAACATTCAAATTAACCTGGGCACTGCCAACCATGAATAAAAACGTGTATTGACCCATACATAGGTAAAGGTAAATTTTTTATTAAAATATTATTACGTCACTTCCACCCTTTCTTCTTTCAACCCCTTCCTTGACCTAGATCCCCAATCCCTCTCACTAATTGCCTCTTTTCTTTTTATCATTATCATTGTGATTATTACATACATATGCGCAAATGTAAAATACAACCTGTTGAGTACATATAGTGTGGCTTGTGTGTATGCGATTTCACTTTGTATTGACTAACCAGTTAGATGCGCGTCCCTGGAAAAGGCTAATTCTCCCTCTCTCGACAGTCATCAGTTGTCTGTAATGTTTTGTCTAGGGTGGACCCAGAGAGAGCTTCCTTTTCCATGTTAGCATGTCTATCGATATCATCACTTAGATCTCATGGGGTAGCAAATGTTGTAGAGGTATCGAGAGTGTGGAGCTTCCTGTCGTTTCTTGGTTTCTTGGAGGCACTGCAACAGCAAACTCCTGGTCTTTTGTCTCAACAATCTTTCCACTTCTTCTCCCAAAGTTCCCAGAGCCTTAGGTGCAGGCTTCGTATTGCAGATGTATCTTGCTGGGTCTTGGTTCCTATGATCTACTGATATCTGCATTTTGATCTGTTGTTGTTGTTTGTAATGTTCTCTGTTTGTTATGAAGAGATGCTTCTTTGACAAGACGCAAGAGATATACTTAGACTGGCATAATTCCTAACTACTTTCTAAAACTTAACCACACACCCACAAATGGGCGATAACGGAAGCAAGACACACAACAACAATGAGTGTGTAGAAATCTTGACAGATTTTTCTGCCACACTCTCTCAGGTATGTAGACACATAACATTTCTACTCACCTCTTGATCTTCTGAGAGTTCCTGATGGTTACAAGAAAGAAGAAAGGAGTGAATTTAAGATTGGAGCCTTTGTTACTGTCCTTTTGTGACTTTGTTTGCAAGTGTGCCTTTACTTAATGTTGATCTCTTTATATTACCTGTCTCTCCACTAGCACTCTGAGATTACATAGGTTTGTGATAGACTCCATCATATTTCTAAGACTTTAATTGTAAAATGAGAAAGGAGGAGTGACGTTAAATAAATGCATTTAGAATGTATCTAGGACAGAATGGAACAAGATGAAACTCTAGCCATGGTCATCACGTAGCCCTGGGCCAGAAGCATGAGCTGCCTGTTGGATGCATGAATGGATCCTATCATAGCATGGCATGATTCATTGATGTTTAGAGTTACAGTGATTTAGAGCATATCTTTTATTTATGTCAGACTGTAAACTTTCATGATGGGAGAGATTTTTTTTTGCATCCAATTTATAAATTAATGTGACTCATTTCTTCTAAGTGACTCTAGTCTCTTCTCAGTGTCTTTTATCAGAAGCTTCACATGGAAAAACTTAATGCTAAGCTTTCATCTTTAAACTCTAGGTGTAAAAAAAAAAGGAACACTGTGTGGTATAATCTTGTCTTGGTAGTAGACAGTAAGGGAACAGCGAACATGGTGCTTGGGGGAACAACAGCTCATTTTCCTTCACTTTGGGTAATAGCACATAGCAACCAGGAGAGCTGCAGCTCAAGATGCTTACTGAGAGCATCCCATGGTGCTTACTGAGATCATAACTCTCAGCTATTTCAATTATGAGTTTCAGCTTCTTTCTTAGCAAAACGAAGATATGGATACTTAGTCTGTAAGATAGTTGAATGGACTAGATGAGGCTGAATGTAAGAGCCTGTCCAGTATACTGCCTTCCATAAACCAAGGTTCACATCTCAGGGAAAGAGGCAGAACAAAGAAAGGCCAAATTCATTGGAAGTGTTTGTTAAGCATGCAAATGTACCAGGCATCCAAACAGGAGCTTAAAGGCAAAACAGATAATAGCAGCTTTTTTTGATCTCCTGTGGATCTAGAGTAGTAGAAGCCAAGGCAGGCAATCATGAACATGACTGTATACATTGATTACTGCTATAGTAGAACCAAAATAAAGTAAAACCCAAAGGCCAGATTTGTTTTGCCTTTAGGAACCAGAGAAGACTAATTAACTTAGGCTTGGCAATTGCAAAATCCTTCAAACAACACAGGATACTTAGGGGTTGCAACCCCATAGGAAGAACAACAATATTAACCAACCAGATCCCTCAGAGCTCACAGGGACTGAACAACCAACCAAAGAGTACACATAGAGGGACCCATGACTCCAGCCGCACATGTAGCAGAGGATGGACCTGTCAGGCATCAGTGGGAGGAAAGGTTCTTGGTCCTGTGAAGGCTCGATGCCCCAGTGTAGGGGAATGCCAGGGCAGTGAGGTGAGGGTGGGTGGGTGGGAGGGGGGCATCCTCATAGAAGCAGGGGGAGGAGGAAAGGGAGAGGGGGGTTTCGAAGGGAAACCAGGAAAGGGGATAACATTTGAAATATGTAAAAACATAAAATAGCCAATGTTTTAAAATGGAAAAAAGAGATATAAAATTTAATAGTGTTCTTGTAATTTTTTTAAGTTAAAATAAAAAGAGAAGGAATGCCCACCAAGCTTCAATGGATAGTTTCAAATCCATGGTCACACGAATGGCATTGTTTAAACACAATTGTCACAAAGCAATACCTGCATGCAGAAAAGAAACTTATAGGGGTTTTGAAGTGGGTAAAAGGAGCTAAGAGAGTGTGGACATGATAGTAAGTAGAATGCATTATATAAACATATATGTGGGTTTTATATTATATATATATATATATATATATATATATATATATATATATACACATATATATATGTTAGTCAAAGAACAAACTTAATATATATTAATTTATATATAATTGATATATTCCTGCACCTAGAGACATGGTATGTGTGACTGTTGTGTCACATGTGTATCAGTAGGTAACAGAGAAGAGAGAGACTATGTCTATGCTCAATGTTATAAACTGGGAACATCTGAAAGACTAGTAGCCTAACACTCCATGAAAAACGTGAGCCTGAGACAACCACCACACATGCCCAGATGGGTTCCCAGGGCAAGGAGTAAGGCAGAGACTAGAAGAACCCTGCCTGAGACCATGGGCCTTGTGTGGGCTGGGATGGGGAGTGAATGTGAAATGACAACCAGTCTAGTGTCATAGGGTCCTGTCAGGGAGCTAGCCTGAGACCACCACCAGTCCGAAGTCAGGCAGGCATCACCAGAGAAATGATAATTTACATTTCTGCAAACAACAGTTTGTGACTGCACACAGCTTCTTTACTAATGGTATCTCAAGCTGAAGTGAGTATAGGTACCCTACTGACAAATGACTAAACAACCATGGGATTTATAAAAACAGAATACTTCTCTGAAATAAAAGAGGTGAACTATTAATCAATTATAGCAACTTGGATGACAGTGGAAAATCGTGTTGAGTGTGCTGAGCATAGTGGGACAAACCTGGAATTGCTGCATTTGGGAGGCAGAGGTAGAGAGATTACTTCAAGTTCCAGGCCAAGCTAATATGCAAAGCAGCTCTATATCACCCAGAACTACACAGTGGAAACCCTACTCTAACTCTGGCCCTCCAAATGAAAATGATGGTGAGTAATAAATGCCCAACTCAAAGAGTTATGTGTCAATCATATACATACACAGTCATATATGTATGCAACTATATACATATGCAACAATATACATATGCAATCATACAATATGCAACCATCTATATATACAATCATACATATGCAATCATACTTATATACAATCATATACATATGCAACCATGTAAATATGTAATCATATACATACAACCATATATATACAATCATATTCATATACAATTATATACATATGTAATCATATATATATACAATCATACATATGCAATCATACTTACATACAATCATATACAAATATAATCAATATACATATACAATCAATATACATATGTAACTATATACATATACAGTCATATTCATATACAATCATATACATATATAATCACATACATATTCAATCTTATACATGAAGCACATTTATAACATTAAGCTTTAGAAGTAAAGAATTAATTAAGGATTATGTGAAGGATGACGGCATAAGGGATTTAGGGATGATGAAACTATTCTGCATCTTGTCCTGGGTGATTAATAAACCTAGATAAGCTGGTAAATTTGACAAAATACAGGTATAGGAATGCCAATAAAACTCAGGAAATTTTAATAAGATTAGTAGATTATGATAAGGCCAACATTTTGGTTGTAATATTTGACCATGGTTTTAAAACTGGATAAAGTGTCAAACTGGAAAAAGAGCTCACCTTACCATCAATACAGCAAATAGTGTGTGAATCAATTATCTCACTAAAATGTGTAGGGGCTGGAGAGATGGTACAACAGTTGAGAGTACTTGCTGCTCTTGCAGAGGACTAGAGTTTGGTTTCCAGCACCCACATGGAGGGTAACAACCATCTATAACTCCAGATGGAGTTCTAGGGGATTTGATGCCATCTTCTGACCTCCATGGACAATCAGGTACACATGTAGTACACAAAAACACACATAGGCAAAACAGTCACACAAACAAAATAAAATAAGTAAATGCAAAATAATTAAAAGTATTTTTCTACTAAGAAATCAATCTGGATTAAGCATTTGAGATTTCCCTTAATTTTAGCATGCTTTTTAAAAGTTTTTTATTATATGCAGATTTATTGAACACATGCTATGATTTTAAAATGCTGACAACACAGAACCCAAAGATACTGGTGCTGACAGCTTGGTTTCCCCAGGGACAATGCTAAGGAGGTGGTAAAAGATAGGACCCATTGAGTGATAAGTACATCAAAGGGTTATTGTTGTCAGAGGAGATCAACGCTGGTATTCAAAAATGAGTTTTTCCCAAAATCCAATGGCTATGAAGTAAAATTATGCCAGAGTGAAAGTCTCCTTCAAGTGACCATTAATCTACTTGTGCTGTGAACAGAGATGAGAAATCAGGGCTTATCAGAACCCAAATGAATCAGGCTGTTCATTCTTGAAAACTCAGCCTTTAAAACTTTAAGCTAAATAATTCTCTCTCTTTTTTTTAATAAAGTAGCTAGCCTCCAGGACCTTGGTACAGCAACAGAAAATGGAATAAAATGTCATTGCGCTTGTAACCTTGATACTTCATCTCCAGAAGCTTGTGCGTTTACCATGTGTTAACAGTGTGTTATAGTATTATAGTGACACAGTAATTGTAGTCACTTCTCCTCCTGTGCTATGGCAAACATCAATCATGTTCACTAAAACACATTTCTGTCATCTCACAAGACAAAGCTGACCCATATTCCCCAGCTTCCCTTGCAGCTAAATACAACTACTTTGTCCAAATTCTTGGCAGTATAATACATCTACTCCATCTCCACCATTTTGTCTCAGTACCATCCTCAGTACCATCTTCTAGATTCTGACTTCTGATCAGATCCAAAGATGAAGAAGAGCATCCCCCAACAAGTTTTTGAAGAAAACAAAACAACAATGCAAGAAATCCCACCCTATGAATAACAGCACAGAAGATCTCTCATTACAAAGAGGCAAGCTAATATTATGCCGAGCCATTGGACTTCAGCATCTTACATGACAAATGTTATTCGTCCTAACTAATGTGGCTGCTCTTTAACAGTAAGCGCTGTGCTGTGTTCAGGATTATATTCCTGGAATCAAGTAAAGGCTTGGCACAGAAAGTAAACTTCATAAATATTTGAGATCATCACGTTTCCATCAGTGACAGAAGTCACCTTCTACACCACCATCTTTTGCACATCTACCATTTTTCCTAAATGTGGCATGAAAGCCTAGTACCTCATCCTCAAGTCCAAAGCCTCCCTAGTGATAAGATTGGGGCAAAGGTCAGCCATATCTTCACTTCCCACTCTTAAGCACACACTCAGTTTTAATTTTTGAGTTAAAAGCACATTTCACTTACCATTGCCCCTCTGGCTTGATTGCAATTTAATATTAAATTCAACAATATGTTTCTGTAAAGATTTCATAGCCAAGACTCTACTGAGAGCTTATGTGTAGGAACCTTCATTATTTCTTAGAAAAACACAGGACACTACTGCTCTATGAAATTGTATAAATAATTAAAATCAAAGCTTGCATATCAAAATAAATGATCTAAATACTTTTCATGATATACTACCCTTTTGGTTTGTGGTTGCCTTGCTTACTGGATAATTTCAGAAAAAAATTCTCCCAACCAAAAGAGGTCACTGGATTACTCAAGTAAATTTATGACTGTAGGATTTGCTTCAGCAAGAGATCAACTTCTCATCTTTGTCCCTTATCTAAGTATACACAAGCATCAAAGTTTTTCACCTCAGCAGAAAAAGATGACTTTGTCTAGTTGTATACATGTCTTCTCTCTTAATCTAGTTGTTTTTATGCCATCTCATAATAATATCGTAATTTTTAAATATTCTGATTGCTCAGTATTTGATCAACAGGAAAGATTACTAGGTCATCTGTAAAAAGAGAAACCACCTGTCAGATCATGTGATCATCAGAGCACATGATATGTATTAGCAGGAGGTCACAGTGAGCACTAACCCTGGCCAGGGCTGTGCTGGCATTCTTAAAGGAGAATTTGATGTTAATTATATCTTAAAAGCTAAGATATGGGTTTTTCTAGAAACTGTATTCTCTTTTTCCCATGTGACGTAAACACATAAAATTATGTTGAGATTATTTTAACAGAAAGAAACTAGGTTCTGTCTTTTTTAACCCTTAATTCAATGTTTACTAATTTAAATTTTGCGGACTTTCTTCAAGGGTTCATTGTTTCATCTCAAGCTTTTACATAAGGCCCCCAGCAATGTAGCCTCCAAGGAGCCTCAGTATTTATTCTCAGTCTTCTATTTAACTCCTTCGACATGAGTTTTTACCTTCATTTAGCTATTTAACTACACTGAAATTTGTTTTCATCTGCAGCATACTATGTTTCTAATTTTGACTTAACTATTTTTTTTTTGCCTTCTCCACTTACCCATGCTACTTCAGTTTTGATTTTTTTTAGAACTGTATACAGTTTGCTTCGATCATGATTACGATACCCTCATACAACTTTGGCCCAGGGGTTAGCACAGCCATGATGGGTGTGTGTCTATGTTCTATGGACTTCTTGATGTTATGGGGTTTTGTTCTGCTTGCAGCCTTCACATTCCTCTTAATCTAACAATTGCATGAAAACTCGAAGAGGGCTTCCAGCCCATCACTGGACAGTATCCCTGCCACTCACAGTAATAAAGCTTGATTGATTGCAGTCATTGCTACTGGAACAGGTTAATGACTCAATCACCACCCTAGTAAAGAACTTAGAGATACAGATTATCAGCTATGACTACCACCCTTAGAAAGCATTTGGAAAAATAAATTGTTAGTGAAGTTAGATTAAGATGTTTTTGCTAGTGGCTCTGTTGTAGAAAATCTTAGGGAACTGTGGAAAGCCATGGCAAGGCCTTACTCTTGGCTAACACTCACCCTTGGCTCTCCTATCTACTGTTCTTCTTTCTGCTTACCTTCCATGATTCACTTGTCAGTTCTCAGAACTTCAAACAAGGCCTCATAGCAACCCACCTTAGTAACCCTTCTTCCTGATCTTTAGATTTAGCCAACATCCTGCTAGATAGATGTTTTTAGAACCCCTGTTAATGGCAACAACAACAATATCAACTAACTAGACTTCCCAGAGCTCCCAGGGACTAAACCACCAACCAAGGAGTACACACATGGAGGGACCCCATGGCTCCAGCTGCATATGTAGCAGAGGATGGGCTCATTCTTAACTGGCATCAATTGTCTCTTTATGAGAACAACAGGTATAACCTAGTTAGACCCCACAGCTGCAGCTAGCTTCCTCAACCTGCAAGGCCCTCTTTCCCTTCCTGCCCCTCCCCATATCCTGTTTTCAGAGTGTATAACCTGTGTGAACAGTCTTTGCCAGCTTGTTCAGACTT